AATTTCGTACGCAGAATAAAATGAAACTGCAACGTTTCTTTGCTCCATTGTATCTTTTTCTGTTTCTGTTTCTGTTTCTGAAGCTGCTTCTTGTGCACTATATGCAGCTTTGAAATTTTCGATAATTTCTTTCCTTTCTTCTGCTGAATATTTATCATAAATTTGCGCGTGGTGACTTCTATAATGTCGCGAAATATGTGACTTCTTCATGCACGCAAGCTTCGTTTGGCAAATTAATCATTGCGGTTGGCCTCCAGTTTCTATAAAAAAAACTCTTCTTCCCAGTTTAGCTGGAAAAGCCGTTTCACTGTATTTTTGCATTTCACTTTAGCCATTCACACACACACGCGCGCGCGCACGCACACACACATTTTATAAAAATAACAGTAACAATAAAACTTAAAACAACACAAAACCATCACGAGACTCTGTAACAATATAATTCTAGACACATCATGCACACTACGAAAACTGAAGTTAACGCTGCGTCTCATTGCTTGGCCGCTCGCCGTTTCGGTGTTATTGCCTTCATTTGTTTATCGATATTTACATTTCCATGATTTTCTGATTTTCAGATCATAAAAATACAAAATAATAATACGGAAAAGTACAAAGAAATAAAAAGAATAATACGGAGGATTTACCAAATGTTACACGCTTGAGTCACCGGTGTGTGTCATTATTGCCTTGCAAATTAAACATTGCAAAAACAAGTGTAATAATTACAATTACTTGTATACAATTCATTATCAATTAATTGTATGTAGTTGTGTAGGTGTTTCATTTTTACATTGATTGAATAAATGGGATGTGTACAAACGAAAATATTTTTACCATTTGGTGTATTCATATATTTATGAACGTATATTTTAGTCATTATTGCAGTTATTAGGCATCGGCTATGTTGTCCGACATATTTTAACTAAAGATAAATGAAATATAATTTTATAATCACTTACCTTACACGGAATAGTACTAAAAAGAATTCCCGTAAGAATTTTAAAAAAAAAACTTTCACGTAAAAAAATCGAGGGGTCCACTCCAATATGATGAACCTGAACCGTGGAAAATATATAATGTTGTCATAATTTGATTTTTTATGTTGATATTTCGTATACATATTAAGAAAATGTTTAATCTTATGAAACACAAGGGAAAGTTATTTCAATTGGCTAGCATAGAAGGGCCCTCGTATACACGGGCAATTTTGAATGCCCCCCATATGCGCGGGAAGTTATGGAGTGCCTCCCCAAGATATGGGAATTCTACGACTATGTCAACGCGTGTAGCCAAGATCCCGTGGGTAGGGATTTTGGGAGTGTCGAAAGTGGGGACAGTCGGCATGCGCAGTGTGCGCACGTACCTCTTGCCCTCCGATCGCAACGTAGCACTAGCGAGCAGTGATGCCAGAATCGTGGAACTTGGTTCCACCACCACGACGTCCTGGCTACCCCCACTTTATTCCACAGTTTCTGCCACACAAGCATACTTTGCTTCTATCCGTGTGAGCTGGCCCGTTCGGGTGTTTCCGTAAGATCTACGTTACCAACGCGACTCCCAACAACCAGAGCGCGTGCGCAGAAATCATTTCGTGTGCTGACGTCCTGGCTACCCCCACTTTACGTCCACCGTGCTGGCACACACACACACACACAGGTATATCCCAGCCCTGCCATGTGCGCAGGCCGTTCGAGAGACGGTGAGCTATATTTAGAAAAGAGTGGGGGAAAGCGACCCACGATTCTGGCATCACTGCTTGCCTTGGAAATCCTGTTCGAATACGACTGCGGCGAAAATTCACGTTCTCGACGCGATGCCCCGCAACCTAAGCGCGTGAACAGTCAAGAAATCCTGTTCGAATCCCAATGCGGCGGTTTTACTTTTTATTTTTAATTATTTTATAATTTCACTTTGTAACCTCTAAGTAAAATAAAAAAGTTAAAAAATATTGATTCAGGAAGCATTTAAAAAGAAGAAAATAAATGTTTTCCACTTCAATGTCTAAATTTTTTATTATATACATACATATTATGTTGTATACACATAAATTATTTTTACAATTAGATGTTATCCGCTAAAAACCGCTGCAGCTGGTCCACGTATATGCCGAATGGTCTTTTGCTTTTCTCCATATGAAAAGAAAAAAACACAATTGAAATAGTAATTTTAATAACATAAGATAAAATATTAAGATTGCTATGAACTTATTTTTTTTTTGTTGAATTATTCTGTAATTTCGCTTCCTCACTTTTGAGTAGAAGTTTCGCAGCAAACGAAAGTAACGAAGTACGATAGTCTTTTAAAACTATTTAAAATGTGCCTCATTGTAATATTTTGGAAATTCCTTTATTGCCGGAAATTTTCTTTATTGACAGAAATTTCGACGGCTAACGGTAATGAATTTCTAAAAGCTATTTCAACGGTAAGGGACTTTTAATTTGGTCCATCGTAGACGTCGTCGAATACCTTATTGTTTCATTATGTCAAAAGAGTCTTTTGAAAAGAGGTAGTTAAGAATTTCAGGGGATTCGAAAGAAGTGCTTAGGCGCTCGAAAAAACAATATACTGCTAATAGTGATCCGCTATAGACTTCACAAAGGACCTGTTAAAGGTAACCGTGCGCCCAGTTCCAGGTAAGCGAGCCGCTCGCGCGGCGTTTACGATCGGCCGAATCGTACCAATTGCACCCTTTATTACTTGAAATGAGGTCTAAAAAGATTATCGATAGGTCTCGTACCCGTCTCAGTGGTGTCATTTAAAGTAATATGGATTGCAACTGGTACGATCGGCCAACCGTAATCACCGCGCCTACCTAATAACGTATTATAACGTATAAATAACGTATTCGACGACGTCTACGATGGACCAAATTAAAAGTCCCTTACCGTTGAAATAGCTTTTAGAAATTCATTACCGTTAGCCGTCGAAATTTCTGTCAATAAAGAAAATTTCCGGCAATAAAGTAATTTCTAAAATATTACAATGAGGCACATTTTAAATAGTTTTAAAAGACTATCGTACTTCGTTACTTTCGTTTGCTGCGAAACTTCTACTCAAAAGTGAGGAAGCGAAATTACAGAATAATTCAACAAAAAAAAAATAAGTTCATAGCAATCTTAATATTTTATCTTATGTTATTAAAATTACTATTTCAATTGTGTTTTTTTCTTTTCATATGGAGAAAAGCAAAAGACCATTCGGCATATACGTGGACCAGCTGCAGCGGTTTTTAGCGGGTAACATCTAATTGTAAAAATAATTTATGTGTATACAACATAATATGTATGTATATAATAAAAAATTTAGACATTGAAGTGGAAAACATTTATTTTCTTCTTTTTAAATGCTTCCTGAATCAATATTTTTTAACTTTTTTATTTTACTTAGAGGTTACAAAGTGAAATTATAAAATAATTAAAAATAAAAAGTAAAACCGCCGCATTGGGATTCGAACAGGATTTCTTGACTGTTCACGCGCTTAGGTTGCGGGGCATCGCGTCGAGAACGTGAATTTTCGCCGCAGTCGTATTCGAACAGGATTTCCAAGGCAAGCAGTGATGCCAGAATCGTGGGTCGCTTTCCCCCACTCTTTTCTAAATATAGCTCACCGTCTCTCGAACGGCCTGCGCACATGGCAGGGCTGGGATATACCTGTGTGTGTGTGTGTGTGCCAGCACGGTGGACGTAAAGTGGGGGTTGCCAGGACGTCAGCACACGAAATGATTTCTGCGCACGCGCTCTGGTTGTTGGGAGTCGCGTTGGTAACGTAGATCTTACGGAAACACCCGAACGGGCCAGCTCACACGGATAGAAGCAAAGTATGCTTGTGTGGCAGAAACTGTGGAATAAAGTGGGGGTAGCCAGGACGTCGTGGTGGTGGAACCAAGTTCCACGATTCTGGCATCACTGCTAGCGAGTAGTGGGGAATAGACTGAGTGATGGTGGGGACCGCGTCGTCTGGCGAAATGACCCGCGGGCCACATGTTGAATAGGCCTGGTGTAGAAAATTCCGAAGGAATTTTGGAAAGCTGAGAGATTTCTCTTTAAAGGCCCTTAGGTGCCAATTTGTAGAAATTTTTCTTCGTCGTATACAGTCCACTTCAAAATAACGTAAAATATGGCATAATTACCATTTTTCACAAAACACGATGCCATTTTAGATGCACTCTTTTTTTTTGACTGAACTTAATTTGCTTTTTTTGTTCCAACTTCTTCTTTTCCATTGCATCTCCTCGCCGTGTAATGAGATGAGTACCCTGGCATCTGCTAGCGAGACGGTGCGCAGTACTAACGTTATAAGCCAACGTCTCGCTGACAGATGCCAAAGTAGGTTTTTTTAGACAACTTTTATACTTTATTGCTGGCAATTTGCTCGGAACTTGTACACAACTGGTTATCAGGGTACCTATGTATCAGTAACTCTGTAGAAAAGTCCCCTGATAACCAGTTGTGTAGATGTTTCGAACAAATTGCTAGCAATAAGTGAAAAAAGTTGTCTAAAAAACCATAGCCATCTGTTTCCGCATTTGACATGGATTTTGCAGACAACAACAGCTGACAATATGGTAAAACAAATTGGCAAAAAGTCTTGCAACATGACCTATGTCAAATTGAGGGCAAAATCGGAGCATATGTTGTTCTCAATTTGCTGCCTATCTAGCTGTCAATGTGCGCGCAAGTTATTTATAGCAAATATTGCATCAAACTTGTAGCCACAACTTCATAACAGGAATTGAACAAAATTTGGCTTCGCTGGTTTGGCTGACTGAATGTTTACAATAAGTTTAATTTCAATAAACATTGAAGTAAGAAATTGATATGGGAACAAAGATAACCTCAAGGGGATGACCCCTTTCTCAGAGAAGAAACCATAACGATGTTTCTTTTCATTAAACAGAAATTTATAGAAAATTATTGAGTAATTTTGAAAGACTGACACTAATGAAATCTATACAAAATTAATGAAACAATTGTACATAGAACAAAAATAATTTACTTACGTCGATAAATTCTGGTTGTATGGTAGTAGAATGTATGCCTTCGTTGTGAAAAAATTCTTTAACCTGTTCTGCAATTTTCATATATTCTGACAGATTTCTACATCTAATATGTGCCGAAGCAATAATACGGTCGCCAGCTAATTGCCATACATGAAATTCGTGTACAGCCAGAACACCATCAACATTTTCGAGTAAGCGTTGTTGAATAGCATCAACCTAAAATAACAAATTTATGTTAATATATGACACATATTATTTGTTATAGATGCAAGACATCATTCAAATGAAACTGCCTACTATTATACTGTTCAACAAATTTGAATTTTTTTCGTTTTTGTAAGCTCTAATAAGCGTTTCTGATAGATCTTCATAAGCTGAATATGAATCTGCAAACCGTTTCTTTGCAGCACGTCCAGATTTTGAAAAAATCAATTTAAAAAAAAATGGCAAATTTACAACTTTAGAACTGTATTGTGCTTTTACAGTAATAGTATTGCAATTTCTTTTGACATGAAATAATTCCCTGGACTCTTCTGAACAAAATGATATAAATTATTATTACATTATAGACATTTAAATATGTTTAAATAATGTTTAAAGTGAAAAAGACACCGAAAACGCATCACTTTTTGCTGATATTCTTTAATTTATTTCAAAAACTAAATGTCTAGGAGAAAATAAGTTGAGAACATAAAGTTGTAAATTTGCAATTTTTTTAAAAATTGATGTTTTCAAAAACTGGACGTAGTGGAAAGAAACGGTTTGCAGATTCGTATTCAACTCATAAAGGTCTGTCAGAAACACTTATTAAAAAATGCAAAAATTTTTACGTGTTCAACAGTGTTATTATAAAATACGGGGAGAAGGCTAGTTAGACAAACTAGGATCAATAAATACTCTATTCATTTTATAGATCAATTTTTAAATAAGCTTAAAATGTACTATAGTTTAATGCAGTATAGCATGTCTGTAGAATAATTTTTAAAAAATACATATGGACTCAAAATTTCCTGTGAACGAAAATATCTTGAGAAACTAGTCGTTACCCTTGACTTTCCAACAGTTTACTCTAACTCTACTTACAGTCTACTCAGCAACCCGGATTGTAGAAATATCAGAGAAATGTCAGTGAAGAGAATGTGAATAAACAGACCTGTATCTTATTACCAAAAATGTGTGAATTCTAATGGTTTTTACTTCGATCAATAAAATTTATTCCGAGCTGAGTTATACCACATTATACTTTGCAGTTGAAGACTATAATTTGCCTCTAGACAATTTAATTATTTATATTGAACTTCAGCAAAACTTTTATTTGATTCATCTTAAAGAACACCGTATATCACATTGCATTATTTAGAGTAATGTTACCTGAATATGTGTTGGTACAGTTTGCAAAAGGATTAAGGCTGATTCTTGTAATAGCGGCCACACTGACCGCAGAATGAGTATAACTAACAAAAGTGAAAGAGCCGGGTCAATATAAAACCTGTAAAACATAAAAGCGTGATGTAAATACCAAACAGAATAACATTTAGGCAGAGCTGAATAACATATGTATATTTTAAATAGTAAGTAATTTATTAAATCATACATATAAGTACGGAAATAAAACAGTTTCTCAGTGGCATTAAATTTTTAAAACATTATTTATAAGTAGTATTTTATTTGAGCGACACTGAAAATAACATGATCTTATTCAACAATTTTTTATTTATATTAATTTATTTTCTATTTATTCGTAATGTTCAAAATAGTTTTGTTGAAAATAATGATATACATTTATGGGTATACATGTTTTTCTAATCTCTTGTTATACGTAATAGTAATTTCATGATTTCTTACATTATAATATCATTTCTTCCCACCCTTTCATTGAATGTCAAGGAATGTTTAAAGTACATATTTAAAATACAAGCTTAAAATATTTCCTTTTATGGTTCAGGTTATTAAAATAAAAATATTTTATTGGCCGAAATTTTGCTGTCTATTTCAAATATCATTTTATCTTAACCATACAGCATCCATTGTTTGAAATAGTATTTCAAATATTTTTTCCTAAATTTTATCCAGCTCTGCATCAAGTTGTATAGAATGTTTAAAAAAAAGAGTTTAAGATAACATAGGTTCTGAAATTAATGTTTTCCATGTAAAATTATTTTTATTATTTACAAGCGTTCAATATCGTGAGTGAGTATTTTCGCAACATATCGAATGTAAACAGAAGAACTGGTTTACTAGAAGTACATTAGTTCAAGGTTATGACAACAGGTAATACGAGATACAGAAGGAATATTTGAAAATGTACATCGATATCTGCAGATGTGAGTTCTATATTGAAAAAGAAGGAAGACATCGAAAATCTGTAACAAATGTGATATACTTCTGTATTTTTCATCAAAAGGATTGATTTTAGGACCTATGTTAATTATGCATTTCTTACTCCTCTGTGAGTACTATAAACACTTAAAATCTTGGGCCCTTTTGTGAACACCCTTTATATTACAAATAAAACAATTACTTAATAACAAATCTCAGACTACATATACATCTGATAGTTGTAAGAGAATGTTTTCTGGTAAAACTGCTTTTATGCCAATGCTCACCAATTTTCATAAAAATTCTACATTTTAATACTGTATTTCCATAAAACGTGATCAGGTGTCAAACTGTAGGAGTTTTGAAAGTCAAATGTCAATGAATCACCAACTATCCCCGATGAACCCTTTTTAAGTCCTAACAATTGGTTTCCATACCCTTGATTTGTATGTGGTACTGATGGCAGCTACTATACATAGAGATGTCTAATGCACAATAACTAATTACAGTCATGTAATCATTAAACTACTTTCATACAATAAGAAACTTAAGTAGAGGCTTATATCTATCAATGGACAAAAAAAGTCTTGGTTCATTATAAATTCTTTGAGTACATGTCAAATATCAATGTCATATATAGTTATAAAGTATAGTAAATTCGTTTAATCAAACATTATTAGATCACGCATTTTTAAGGGTATATCTAAACTTAACACGTCCACTGCATGTTCAAGTTTTCTGACATTTGTGATTGATTATTGTTAAGATATTTCACTATCATTAGGCTAAAAGCTATTCTAACGTATCTCGTCATTGTGCTTTGTTAACAAGTCTCACTGTTAGATGGAACTTCTTACCATCCTCCTAAAGCAAAAAAAAAAATAATCGCATGTAACATAGTAATCTGCACATAGATATAAAACTCGGGCAACGCCTAAAGCATACATGAAAGCCTCTACTGGAAGTCTTGCAGTGACACACAATGAACATGTTAATTGGAGTATCAAGTTGAGCACCGATCTGTATCAAGTATCATATTTCTCCATGTAAAATACGTATACTTAGTGAAATAAACAGAGTATAATAATGTTATTCAGAAACAGAGCCGATAAAGTGATAAACACTTTAAAACTAGTAGGAATGTTCAAATCTGGGTATCTCAAGCAAGTATGCAACAAGAGAAGGATATTAACTGACCACACGTGATAAGACACGTTCAATTTTCCCACCAATAATTACTATTCAATGCGCTCAATATTATGCAGAATATGTGAATTTATAAAAAGTATTTTATTACCTGTACTTCCATTTCGTCAACCAAACAATTAAAGCAGACACGATTACAATAACAGATCCTAAGGCATCGGAGAGTACATGAAGGAACACACCGCGCATATTCATTTGACTGGCGTCATGCGAATGACCGTGTGTCCTTTTCACCTGAGGTGTCGAAGGCCTATAAGCTTCATCGTTTTCGTTATCGTCAGTCCCAACGAACGAACTAAGCCTGTTATGACTTCGAGATATACCGTGTGAATGTGCATGACTGTGACCATGTTCTGTAAAAAAAAAAGAATTAAAATGTTTTGCATTCATATTCGTCAGACAAAGAATTCAGTCCAAAGATATTTTGCCTCCAATTAATTCCATTCTGGTGCCTGCTTGACAAAAGATATTATTACTTGCACAAATATCCGCCAGTGACAACTGGGTAGTACTTGGTGTTCTTTAAAATATAAAAAAAAATTCTGAACTAATTCAAGGGTGGGTTCAAAAGATGATTTGATTGGAGTATGACAATCGTGTCAAAATGTAATTAGGAAAACTGAACGAAAGAGCAATTTGTCGAGCTTTGGACTCATTGTCAGATAAATAACTCGAAGACACGGATATTATTAACCTTATTAAGGAAATAATAAACATGGAATCTTGAAAAGGAGTTAAACAACAGAGCACAACGTATAATAGTACTGAGAGAGTCACGAACGTATATACCCATGGGTGTACATATAAAACTGAGAAATACATAAAGAAAACAACATAACGTATGAATAACTAACTGAGGTTCGTACAATACTGATCAACTAATTTGTATGAAAGTTAATCGGGCCTAGGAAAACACTTGAAGAGCGTAAGAAGAGAATAGAATAGACAATTCAAAATAAAAACTGAAAAATGTCAGAGACAAGAATACAGTGGCAGTATCACAGGTACCACAGACGTGATACGTTTAAAGGTTGCATATACATTAGCACTCATAAGTATTTGCCCACTCATATTAAATTCACTTTACAAAAAAATGTGCCAATTTTTCAAAAGAATTGATTGTCGCTACAAAAAGAAAGTCCATAAAGTAAGCAAAATCCCCAAACCTTTATTGTAATTTCTCAATGTGAAATGAAAAATGAAATAGAGTAAACCTTTCTTAGATGGATGGACAAATACTTATGACTTATTGCGTAAGTCAATATGTAGCTTAGAATTTCTTTGAACACAAATTTATTTCAATCGATTATTCGATAGCAACAATACATTTGGTTTAAAACAAGTAAAGCTGGTATTTAAATATACACTTTCAGAGAGACATGACATTGCTGTACCCTTCTGTTGTTGTATTACAGTTGAGCATTAGTAAATTTTATTTTAGGTAATTTGTTCATTAAACAGCCAGTGGTAAGTATTACTTTATAATAGGAATAAAAGAAAGGAATAGCAATTTTTAATAGACTTACCATGAAACAAACACAGCCCAATTACATTTACTAGTAACCCAAGTGCACCCACAGCTACAAGTAATTTAGCTTCATGTATTTCTTCTACTTCAATAAATCTTTTACATGCTTCCACGGTAATGCTAAAACACAATGCGACTAAAAAAACAGCATTTACCAAAGCACCTAAAACTTCCGCTCTGGCCCAGCCAAATGTATTCTTAGACCATTTCTTTGGCGACATCTGCAAAATTCATAAAAATATAAATTACTATAAAGTGTTTGAGAAAAAAGAAAATGATTACTACAAAATTCTTAAAGAAATTTCGTTGAAGTACTTGACGATATTAACAACAATACGTACACCATTAATTTTACAACTTTTATTCTTTATTGCATTAATATACTTAATTTCAACAAAAATTGAACGAGTATTAACATTATAGTCACTTATACAGGGTGTCCCAAAAATGTCCTCCGACACGGAAATGGGGCACTCGGGGGGTGAATTGGAACAACTTTTTCCTTAGCAACAATGTAAACTGAGGCTTCGTTACCGAGATATTAACACTAGGTTTACGGACATTTCTTGTATACCTATCTCTACGGACACGCGTCAAATTGACGCGTGAACGAAATCACATATTTTCCTTAAAAAAACAACTTATTTTATTTAAAAACAACGTAATTATACACTATTAACTTATAAATGAACGTAACGTGAACGTTATGAATGCAATGTGGTGGGAGAGAGAATTTATATGCGTGAAAGTATCTACGTGGGGAAGTACAATCTCGCGTGGCCATATATGCTTAGTAGCAATATCGTTAAAGTCCATTGTATCTCCGCTGCATTGTTTGTACTTACTTTTGACATTTATTTTCTATGAACTTTTTGATTACGTTCATATTTATTGCTGAAGTAATGCTTTCATGAATCAAGCTCGTTTACTAGGATTAATACCTACTCAATTTACGATCGCGTCAAATTGACGCACACCGTAGAGATAGGTATACCACTTAGAGAATTCCGAGATTACAAGGCTTAGAAGAAAATGAATTGGGATATATATTTGTCTTGTTAAAACAATAAAAGTCAGCATAAATGATAGGAGAGAAATATAAACGGTTTCAGTCATTTTCCTTGTAAAGTTCAGAATGCGTCAAAATGACGCGTCCCGTAAACCTAGTGTTAACGAAAAACCGCGACCAATCAGAGCGCGAGTTTGCCAGCCGAGTTCCCGCGCTAGCGGTGGCTACGCGCTACGCTTGTACTACGAAGCTCTGACAAGTACATCAGCATGCATCGCAGGAAAATGCGTATCATAGCAAATAAAAAAGACATAACAAATAAAATCTGTCGTTTGTTATTTAAAGAGATTAATGAATGAAGCATAAATATAGGAAAACTATGTGTAACGTAAAAAGACGAATGCACATTTACTTTTTTAAACAGAATGGAAACTAATAATTATTTGTAGAGAGAGGCTAAGGAATTTGTAAATTTCCTTTTCAAATAATGTATTAACGAAAAGGTAATGTAACAGAGAATGAACGAGAAGTGATCGTAATTTGTTATTGGTATAAAAATTCGTAGTTTAATAACTGTCAACAATGTTACTGATAATGAATAAGTTTCTTCAAAAAGCCCGAAGAAAAAGTTAGGTACAGAAACTTGCAAAATTATGCTAGAAATAAGTTATAGCTTGCGTTAATAAATAAGTTATAGCTTGCAGCAATAAATTGATTAGAACTAACCCTTTCGGAAAGTCACCTACAGTTTGCAAACCTGCGTCAGTAGGTCAGTGTACCGAGCCTGGGCATCGAAGAACGAAATGGTTTATGGCAGGGTAGCGCCCAGTCCGCAGGTGATCGCAGGTGTACGGCACCAGCCGAAATTAAGAGTTGTAACGTCAAGTACCTCCGGGTTATTCCACCGAATACGTATTCACTTCACTGCACAACCGCTAACACTGATCAGCCGACACGATCACTTAACGTATTTTTAATCGAACGTGTTGTTCCTACGTTAGGAAAATTGGTGGCTCCGAAACGGGCCGATTGTTTTCAATTTGTCAGATCTTTTACGTAGCCAAACGATTGCACAGCAGCAGCCGCATATCTGTTATTCTGTACGTACCACCAGAACATTGCGTAATACTCCCGTGAACTGAACATCTCTGTCGCCCGATTGCAAACCAACTGATAGCATTTTTCCGAGAGGGCTTTCTTTAACCCCAAGTAGTTTCCCATCGTTACATTGTGAGTTCACTCCCACCGCGACAATAAGATTTAGGTATAAAGAAACCAGCGTTCTAGGAAAACGCGTGCCCTGCATAAGTCCAACGAACGAGCCGTCGTGCAATTTCACCAAAGTACGGGCTCCGTTAATTTACTGCCAGGATACCAGGGATGGAAAAAGTAGAATTTGTGTGAAAGCGCTCCTATACCGGGTCGATAAGCGTTACCACTGTACGACCGACGGTCCGCTTACAAGCCACAACCGCTCCCACTTTTATGATCACCGTTACGTAGTAGAGTAACGAAAGCCCAAATCCCGATATCATTCCCATTCTATTTATAGACAAGGGTCGCATCAAGCGCTAAGCTTCCGACTACGAGTGTGTCGAACGTAGGAAATTTTTCCTTTCTTTTAATTTAGCAAGTTTAACCTATTTGAATAATACTTGTTGAAGTTGAAATATCATTTTTATGACATCGAAAATTATAAATAAATTCTTGTTTTCAAATTTCTCAAAAATAATTCAATGAAATTTTGTTTACTGTTTGCCTACTGTTTTACAGCATTGTTCGTTACAATCAAGCGTTCGTTAAGATTAAATGATATTTAATTTTACTTAAACTGAATTTCAATTTTTGTCCGCTCTGGCCTCTACTAAGGTGCTCGGACAGGGCCAAGCAGCGTCAACTAAACTTGTGTCCGTGAAATTTTTTTTCCTGCTCCTCGAGGAAAACATAGTTTCTGCTTTCTATCTCGAAGCAATAGGAATCCTGGCAGTAAATTAACGGAGCCCGTACTTCGGTGAAACTGCACGACGGCTCGTTCGTTGCACTTCTGCAAAGCACGTGTTTTCCTAGAACGCTGGTTTCTTTATACCTAAATCTTATTGCTTCGGTGGGAGTGAACTCACAATGTAACGATGGGAAACTACTTGGGGGTAAAGGAAGCCCTTTCGGAAAAATACTGTCAGTTGGTTTGCAATCGGGCGACAGAGATGTTCAGTTCACGGGAGTATTACGCAATCTGTTACTGTTACTTGTATTACTTGTTCTGGTGGTACGCACAGAATAACGGATATGCGGCTGTTGCTGTGCAACCGTTTCGGAGCTACCAATTTTCCTAACGTAGGAACAACACGTTCGATTAAAAATACATTAAGTGATCGTGTCGGCTGATCAATGTTAGCGGTTGTGCAGTGAAGTGAATACGTATTCGGTGGAATAACCCGGCGTCACTTGACATTGCGACTCTTAACGTCGGCTGGTGTCGCATACCTGCGATCACCTGTGGCATGGACTCTACCCTGCCATAAACCATTTCGTCCTTCGATGCCCAGGCTCGGTACACTGACCTACTGACGCAGGTTTGCAAACTGTAGGTGACTTTCCGAAAGGGTTAGTTCTAATCAATTTATTGCTGCAAGCTATAACTTATTTATTAACGCAAGCTATAACTTATTTCTAGCATAATTTTGCAAGTTTCTGTACCTAAATTTTTCTTCGGGCTTCTTGAAGAAACTTATTCATTATTAGTGACATTGTTGCCCGTTATTAAACTACGAATTTTTATGCCAATGTCGAACTACGATCACTTCTCGTTCATTCTCTGTTACATTACCTTTTCGTTAATACATTATTTGAAAAGGAAATTTACAAATTCCTTAGCCTCTCTCTACAAATAATTATTAGTTTCCATTCTGTTTAAAAAAGTAAATGTGCATTCTTCTTTTTACGTTACACATAATTTTCCTACATTTATGCTTCATTCATTAATCTCTTTAAATAACAAACGACAGATTTGATTTGTTATGTCTTTTTTAATTGCTATGATACGCATTTTCCTGCGATGCATGCTGATCGACTTGTTCAGAGCTTCGTAGTACAAGCGTAGGGCGTAGCCACCACTAGCACGGAAACTCCGCTGGCAAAGTCGCGCTCTGATTGGTCGCAGTTTTTCGTTAATATCTCGGTGAAGGGTTGTTCAGCCCATATATGATGGCGGCGCCAATAGGCGTCAAGCGCGCGTGGAGATCAGGCATAAAGCCTGTGCGTTTTGTACTGCGTATCGAGACAAATGTTGTGTATAGTCGTGTGACGCGCTACGAACAGCATTTACAGTATATTCTTTGTATTGCCTTTTATTACTATTAAATATGTTTTATATATCCACTAAAGTGATAGTGTTTTCCATAAGAATAATCCTAACAATGGTTATGAGCCCTCTGTAACGTGTTTATGTAGGACATAACCTATAAAGACCACGTGTTCGGCATAAGACAGAAATGGAATCGCAAGTGGAAGTAACGGAAAAAATGTATAGCAGAGGCGAGCTGCAAATAACCAAATTATCTGATAGAAAATACCGTTCATGGAAGTTAGAGATGAAATGGTTATTACGAGCCAAAGGTCTATGGGACACCGTGTCGAGAGATGCGAATCTAAATGAAAACTCCACAGAGATGGACAGAAAGATATACGCCGCCAACGACAATAAAGCCATCGCAGCGATTGGATTAAGCATAGAACCTGCACAGCAAATCCATATTGAAGACTGCATAACTGCACGAGAAGCCTGGAAAGCACTTGAACAAGTACACCAACCGAAGTCTCGGGTAAGAATCCTCCAACTTAAAAGAGAATTCCATCATGTACAAATGAAACCAGAGGAGTCCATGTCGTCGTACATATCAAGAGCAAAAATTATAGCAAATAACCTAATGGAGGCAGGAGCAGAGGTTCGAGACGAAGATCTGCCTATGTACTATTAGCAGGTCTTCCAGATAGTTACGAGAACCTGAACATGGCATTGGCGAGCTTGCCTGATGACAAGTTTACGTCAGAAGAAATGAAAAGGGTTTTATTAACAGAGTACGACAGAAGGGCATCTAGGCAAAAGGATGAAGGAAGTACACACAAGGAGGCTTTCCAAATCTCAAAGAGAACAGATACGAGAGAACACAAGGTACCAAATTTCAATAAATTAAAAAATGCTACATGTTTTAATTGCAAGAAACCAGGGCATATAGCGAGAGACTGTCGAACCAGAGGAGAGAGAGACAGAAAGAAATTTGAACCAAAACCAAAACATGACGCATTCTTAGTATCGCTAAATCATGTCGACATTGAAGATGTATGGATCCTGGACAGTGGAAGCACACATCATGTATGCAAAAGAAAAGATTGGTTTTCCAGCTTCCAGGAAATTAACACACAGGTAATAAATACAGCTGCTGATCCAAATAGACTAGGTGCAGTATTACACGCAAAAGGCGTTGGCAGCGTAACAATCAAGACGTTTGTTGGATATAAGACAAAGGGTGTGGTGCTAAACAACGTATACTACGTACCAAAACTCAGGAAGAATCTGATGTCGGTTTCTCAAATTGAAAAGAGGAACAAAGAGTTAGTATTTAACGAAGGGAAGGTAAAAATAAGAAATACATTGACAGATGAGGTTATGTGTGAAGCATACAGAAAGAATGACTTGTACATAGTAAGTGCAGAAGTACAAACATCGTTTGAAGATACGGTAGAAGCAAATAACTTGAGCATTCAAGACCAAGCAATATGGCATCAACGTTTTTGTCACATCAATAATGATGCAATTAAAGCATTGTCAAATAGTGACCGTGTAACAGGATTGAGTAACACCAAGATGGATAAATACACGTGTGATGCATGTAACATAGCCAAGACAACTAAAAGCCCTTGCAAGAAGCTAAAGGTAAGACAACCTAAAGAAATAGGCGAAATAATACATTCGGACGTTTGTGGCCCGCTACAAGTCCCATCCATTGGTGGAAGTAGATATTTTATAACATTCACAGATGACTTTTCAAGAACAGTTTCAGTGAGATGTTTAGAAACGAAAGAAGAAGTAAAAGACGTTATTAAAGGTTTTATTACAAAAATGGAACGCCAAACGGGGAAGAGAGTAAAACGATTCCGCACTGACAACGGGTTAGAATACTACAATAAAGAATTAACCACATATTTTGAGAGTTTAGGAATCAAACACGAGAGGTCCAACGTGGAGACGCCACAAATGAACGGCGTGGCTGAAAGAATAAATAGAACCTTGTTAAATTTAACCAGAGCGATGTTAAAATCCTCAGGTTTACCCCAGAGATATTGAGCGGAAGCAGTCACTACGGCCAGCTACGTGAAGAATAGAACTGGCCATTCTGCAACAAAAGGGGAAGTACCCCTAGCAATATTGACAGACCGAAAACCCAGTGTACGTCATTTGAAGGTTTACGGTTGCTTGGCATATGCTCGTCTACCTAATCAAGGCCGTAAAAAATTGGATGACAGGGCAGTTGAGTGTATATTCGTGGGCTATGCTTCTCAAACACGCGGTTATAGACTGTGGTGTCCACTCAAGCAGGACATTATTACTACGAAACATGTAAGATTTGCCAAGGATAAGATGGGCTATGAGTGGATTTATAAGAAGGATGCCGAAAACTACAGATACAACCAGGTATGGATACATGACGAAGAAGATCAGACCATAGAAGAGGTGACTGAAACGCACCATGATGAAATCACAAATCGAGAGAGAATAGTGGGGGTAAAGCCCATTGCCCAGCCGAAACGAAGAGGAAGACCGAAGAAAGTTGTTAAAAACCCATACGGGAGAAAGGGCAAACCGAAGGCAAAGGAGGAGGAAAAAGATTTTCCTTCGGAAGTCGAAAGCAGCGATTGGAGGGACAGCGACGTTGAAGCAAATATAGTAGAAATCGTTGAACCTAGAAGTTTCAGTGAAGCGCTGGAATCCCCACAAGCCAGCGAGTGGAAGGAAGCGATAGAAGATGAGTTGAACAGCCTTGAAAGAAGAAAAACCTGGGAAGTAACAAAACTACTCAAGGGAAGAAAATGCATAGGATGCAGGTGGGTGTTCAAGGTTAAGACTAATACAGAAGGAGAAGTCACTCGGTATAGGGCGAGATTGGTCGCGAAAGGCTTCTCACAAAAGAAGGGAATAGATTATTCCAAAACATATACGCCTGTAACTAATTTTTCATTAATTAGATTGTTCCTAGCCTTGACAGTTATATTTAGGTGGCACACAAGACATGTAGACATCAAGTGTGCTTACCTATACGGAGAATTGGAGGAGGAAATCTTCATGAAACCACCTCCATTATATAAAGCCAAAGAAGGAACGGTAGTCAAGCTGTTACGTCCCAGTTATGGATTAAAACAGTCGGGACGAAATTGGAATAAGGCATTGAACGAATTTCTGGTGAAACAAGGATTCAAAAGACTACAATCATCAAACTGCGTATACAAGAGAGATGATTGGACGATAATAGTTGTATACGTTGATGACATTTTCATATTTGCCCCAGATCCAGAATTGATCACAGACACAATAAAACGGATCACAGAAAAGTACGAGGCAAAAGACTTGGGCGAAATCAGTCAAGTGTTAGGCGTTAAAGTCGAGCGCAATCGCGTGGGAGATATACGTTTATCACAACGACGTTACGTAGAAGATATATTAAAAAATTATAACATGACTGAGTGCAGAAAGACGTCAACGCCATTAGATCCGGGCATTAGATTGTCCAAAGAAGATGCTCCGAAAACAGAAGAGGAAAAGAAATTGATGGCCAATGTACCATACAGAGAGCTTATTGGGAGCTTGATGTTTCGGGCTCTTTATACGAGACCTGATATATTATTTGCGGTGACGAAACTATCGCAATACAATTCCAACCCCGGGAAGCAGCATTGGCATCAAGCGAAGCACATATTGAGATACCTGAGCGCGACCCAAGACTATGGTATAATACAAGGTGCGTCTGAAAAGTTCGGTGAATGGTCCCATATGTTAAAAACCGCGCTGGTTAGCATGAGGCGCCCGTGCATACGCATTGAGAAACATGTCAACAAGTGCCCCCTATCGTGCAAATCATCGAAGCGAAGCAGTGGTGCACGCTGCGACCAATCTAACGGAGTCACGTGTAATTGCAAAATGGAGCAACACGTTAACATGAAGTTTTGCTTTAAATTAGGGAAAACGGCGACGGAGACTCATGGAATGTTAGTGCAAGTGTACGGTGTTGAAGCAGTGAGTAAAAAGTGTGTGTTTGAGTGGTTTAAACGCTTTAGAGACGAAAAGGAAGGTATCGAGGATGAACCGCGTTCGGGTCGACCGTCAACAAGCACAATCCCAGACAACATTGAACGAGTGCGACGGATGCTTGCGGATGATCGGCGGCTGTCTTTGAGAAT